TTTATTCAGAAAAATTATATTTTCAAAATGCTTATGCCTGGTCTGATTCTACTATTGTGTTATCCTGGATAAAGTCTTCTCCACATCGATGGAAAACTTTTGTTGCCAACCGAGTAAGTCGTATTCAATTGAAAGTTTCTCCCAATTGTTGGTATCACGTTAGTTCTACAGATAATCCAGCTGATATCGCTTCACGAGGACTTTTTCCAGGAGAACTTATTAACAATGTTCAATGGTGGGCGGGGCCTTCATGGCTGAAGTCACCAAAAGACACGTGGCCAGTTTCATCTTATGAAAATAATCCAGCTTCCTTGGAAGAAGAAAAAAGGGTCGTTCTTTCTTCGTTCGTTTCTCTTGATGCTTTAGACTTACTTCTAGAAAAATATTCCTCTCTCGCAATAATTAAACGCATCATTGCCTATTGCCTTCGTTTTATAAATAATGTTCGATTTTGTGATTCCAAATTATTTGGTCCTCTAACTATACATGAGATACATGATGCATTTCTTCTTTTGATAAAGCGTGTTCAACATGTATCGTTTTCCGACGATATTGCCAAACTTGAAAAGGGACACCTTGTCAGTAAACCACTTTATTATTATTATATTATTATTACAACGCTATTATTGTATAAATTATTATTATAACGCCACGGTTATTCAAAGTGGTGGACTGTATGAATAAAGAAATAAAATGATTGGAGATGGCTTACCTCCTTTGAAACTCCTATGTTCTTGAAGGGCCCTTCTGATGTGTTGAAGATGTTGATTCGGCTTTCTATTTATTTCTTATGGAGTTGGGAATCACACGCACTTGTTACTATGTCGAGTCTCTCGAATGGAATGAATATGAATTATATACAAAAACCATCTCCAACAAAAACAGTACGTAAAAATAAGAAGGATTTTCGTATTTGAGTGAATAAACTCGAAACAAACATGTTATTGCAACAAATGAAAAAGAATAGAAAATGTATTTTATATATTTTAAAAAATTAATTGTAATTACAATAACACCCTTTTGCGGTGAAGCCGCAACACTAATGGTACCGTGTGGCGTGTGCTATGGGAACAATTATTACACCTATATCATGTACATCAAAGGGTTCAGGCATCAAATAACAATGATTTTCAGCCTCGTCTGGAATTTTGCCAGTGGTTTCAACATCAAATAGCACCATATCCGGATTTTACAAGCAAGTTCCTTTTCTCGGATCATTGTTGTTTTACTAGAGACGGCGGTAGTAAATTTTCACAACATTCACTATTGGTGTTATGCAAATCCTCACGTTGTACAGAGATCTCGGTTCCAACAACGATTTTCAGTGAATGTGTGGTGTGGTGTTTTTGGTGACAAATTACTCAGTCAGATAGTGCTACCTGCACGTTTAAATGGTGCTGCTTATTTAGTTTTTAACAAACGCCTTACCGGATTTGTTTGGAAGACGTCCCTTTACAAATCCGTGCCCAAATGTTCTTCACGCTTGATGGTGCTCCTCACCATGTTTCTTGTGCAGTTTGTGAATTTTTACATACCAACTTTCCGGAAAGGCGGATAGGATGAAATGGCCAGTCCGGATATGAACCCTCTGGACTTTTTTGTTTGGGGGTGTATGAAACAAAATGAGTACCGAACGCCTATTATCGATGCAGAGATCTCGGTTCCAACAACGATTTTCAGTGAATGTGTGGTGTGGTGTTTTTGGTGACAAATTACTCAGTCGGATAGTGCTACATGCACGTTTAAATGGTGCTGCTTATTTAGTTTTTAACAAACGCCTTACCGGATTTGTTTGCAAGACGTCCCTTTACAAATGTGTGCCCAAATGTTCTTCACGCTTGATGGTGCTCCTCCCCATGATTCTCGTGCAGTTTGTGAATTTTTACATACCAACTTTCCGGAAAGGCGGATAGGACGAAAAGGCCGTACGTTGGCCAGCACGAAGTCCGGATATGAACCCTCTGGACGTTTTTGTTTGGGGTTGTATGAAACAAAATGGGTTCCGAACGCCTATTGTCGATGCAGCAGCTAATGAAATTCGACAAATGCCGGGAGTATTTGCACACATGCGGACTAATTTTGACGGTCGTTTGGAAGCATGTTTATTAGCATATTATGAACTTTGAACAATTTTTGTAGAGATGTTATAGATAATAATTAATTCGTTTAATTTTTGTGTTACTTTTCAACGAAATTTGAATAAATTCCAGCATTTTCGAACACAAAATTTAAACCGCCAAAACCGCCATCAGCGCTATCTCACTCCCGCGCGCGGCAACTTCAATATCAACGGTACACCTGGCTGCCGCACCAGGGACGGCTTTAAATTTGTTTAAATCTGTGCAAAAATTCTTTTCACTATAAAACGCAATGTTTTTGACCATCAGTTGCTTAATAAAAGTTGCTCATTTTCGTGCCCTCTATCGTCCTTTTTAAGGAACTCACTTATTTCAGAAACACCCTTTCAACAGCGCATGGTTTATCGAGTACGGCGCGTGACTTGTTAAGCTACTCGTAGTGAGAAAGTAGACTCGACCCGGCAGGAGAAACTTGGAGTTTGTACCAGGAAAACAAGTTATGGGACATGCAAAAGTTTAACGTGAGCGCCTTAGATGGAGGTACGGTTGGCGGGCAGCCCTCGATAAATTGATTTATGAGCCAATAAATCCACAGAACCATACGCCTATGGGAGACAGCTTAATTAGGACCCTTCAAAATATATTGTAACAGTATTAGAAAAAGCTGTATCAAAAACATGTCTTATAAGATACTAAGTAGGCCTTGAAAAGGCACTATTGGTTAGCAAATGAATAAAAATGTATGTATTCGGTCGTCTCGAGATCTAACACTTTCTTATGGAATTAAGGTTCGGATTCTCCAGTTGTAAAGATCTGGGCCGACTAAATCAGTGGCCAAACCTGTTGTAAAACATGTATATTAAAAAAATAATTGGAGAAAATAGTTACCTAAAAGTTCCTTTGCAGTTGCATTTATTGTGTGCTACAGGTATAACTAATTCTTTTAGCACCTTATTTATTGAACTTCTCCAAGACCAAAAACTTTGACAAGTGTTAGTTACAGCTTATAACAAAAGTTACAAGATTAAAAATAAACTGAGGGTTGCTTTCGGTGTGCAGCAAAATTAAAATCTCTCTCAACGGTAAAAATATAAGTATTTTTATTGAAAACAACGTTAGTGAAAAAGAAGTGTTTTTGGAGCGAGCGTTCGCTGGAGAATCGTCGTGGTGTGAAGTCGCTCGCAGGTATAAGTATTTGGTCTTTGTCGCCAATCTGCCGTGGTCCTCTTCCGGGAACCATATCCCGCGTTGCACATTGTTTCTTGTCGTTTGCAACTTGTAGACCGGTCTGGACGGCGTCAGGTTGGTGCTCTTGACGTAATACTTAAAATGGGTCACTTGCAGACATGTGTATCCACAAAACAAACAGAAGGCTTTCGCAACCTGTACTAATATTTAAAGATCCGTGTTTTTTCCGGGTGAATTTAGAGACTTACGTTGCCACTGGCTTAGCTAAGAATCCTTGATCTGCCCTTGTTATTCTTATGCTAGGCTCTGTGAGGGCGAACTTGCTATCAGAACCTCTGGACCCGACCTGATAGAACAAGCAACAAGAACCGATATCAACATCAACAGGGTACTTTAAACATAAGCAGATGCCATCTGTCAAAATTTTGAAAAAATCCTTTCCTTATTATTAAATACTGGCTTTAACATAAAATCTTGGACTCTTATGTGTGTAACTGCCCTAAAATTTTATTAAACCATACTACTATACCGTGTGGGTTCAAAATTGAAACCCAAAACATAAATTTCTAGATGACGTGTGATATTTTCGTAAGGAAAAAAACTTATATTAAGTATTAGTGCCGATGAATGTTATTTTGACCTCCTGTATATACTCCTAAGAGATTAGTACACACTTACCTGTATATGGATGAATGATGATTAGATGATCGCTTTCAGAACAGGTTAAACCAATTTTGACAACATTGTTTCCTATAGAGAAACTTTTAAGCACTTTAAGTTCTGTCACCGTGTACCTTTCTAATTCCCTTTAAATTATGCAGTGCAGGTGTACTGTAGGGAAATTCTCTTTCAACAAAAAAGGTTTTCCTCGGCGGACGTAGGCGGTTAGAATTCTTGTCGATGCCGGTTATTCTGACCGTTCATCGTCATCCATTATTCCGTATCTTCAGGATAACGTCGTTACTTTCAATTTATGTTTAGTCTACTCTTCCAGGGTCGTATAAACACAAAGGAGATTACACTTTAAATCTTAAGCATCGCTGTTATAATGGTAAAACGGCTCTTTAATGCAAATCTAGATTTTTCCTGAATATCTAATATTTAACCAGTATCTTATGAGAATATCTTTTAGTGGTATGTAACAGGTGTAATAAATATTATTATTTTCTGAAAATTGCAAGCATGCGATGGTGCACGAAGATGCATTGCCAATTTTGGATAGTTTTCATAAAAAAATCATAAATTAAAACATTAAATTATTAAAATCTTCAAAAATTAAGTTATACAATACATTGCAAGATATCAAAAATGAATAATTGTTTTGAGAGGGTGAGACGTTTTCAAAAAATTAAGCTATTGAACGGAAATTTTGAGCGTACAGATACATGACACCTTTGGACCAAAATGTAAAATTTATAATATAATCCATTATAACATCAATTTTTTGTGTTTTTTTTTTCATAGTAAAATCACGAGTATGTCATGTTATTTGTTAAACCGTAAAACTGGAGAAGTTAAAAAGAAATAAATATACACGAGTAATTCTACGTTTTGGAAAAACAAGAAATTGAAAAAAATACTGTAGGCTTGAATTTTGTCGGTACAATAATGCCGTGATTAATTTCAAATTAATAAGAGTTTTTGGTTGGTTTTAATGTAGCGAGTGAAATAAGTCATTTAAATACGCTATAAAATATTCCAAGAAAAGAATTGAGTAGGATCTTTTTGTTGCAGACGTAGACTATCATCTGCATCCAATTTATTGGAACAAGCTCCTGTGAAGGCAGCAGGTCGGAAATCAAAAATCCTCAAAGATGTTGGACTGCCCTTCTTGGAAAGCCCTTCCAAGGGCCCAACCAAAACCGAGCTCAAACCGGAGAAAATGGAGAAACCGGTGAAAAAAGAAGTAGTGAAGAAAGAGGAATCGGCTTCAACACGTAAGTCATTAATTTGTTCTAATGAATTGCCAGGCGATTTAAATTGTTGAATCTTAATTATTCCTGAATTTCCGTACGATATTCATGAGTCCATACATGAATCATAGTTAAATTATAGAATAAGTCGCGGTTTTACTTTTCCCAGACCTTTATTTTGAGAACTTGAGACTGGCGTGTCTACCGAAATTCTTAGAACCTGCATACGGCTCTAGGACTCATCTCCTGCTCGCGTGCAGAGAGGTACAAGGATTGTCAGACGCCTCTCTCATGGCACCACCCACAGAGGATGCCTGGGAGAGAGAGAGTATCGCACTGGTCGATCGTTTTCCATCGGTGGCGACGTGTTCTGCCTGGGGGTAAAGTCCATGTTCTAATTTACAATTTGGATACATTGGAATGCATTGGTTTTACTGAGCTTTGAAATGAGCCATACTAATGGTTTTTTTTGGGCGAGTATGGTTACATACCCATGCTATATTTAATGTCTTCTGGTAGTACTTAGATTTTTGGGCTTCTGGGAACATATTAATTGTTTGGCTTTTTGGAGCGCCTTGTATTTTACTGCTTAGAGCTTGTGTGTATTACGTGGGATCGTCACCAAAAACTCAGAAGTCTTAGGCGAGTTGGCTGTTAGATATTGGACCTAGACCTCGAGCAATGCCATCGCAACAACGTTTAACGATATTTCGAATTGCAAAAATTGGATTTATTGATGTTATTGGCAATATATGTGTAATTAATTCAATTATATACAGGGTGTCCTACAAAGGTAGGCGAGGTACGATATTAGAGAAAGTATAGGTATTAGAGCTTCGGAATAAAAATTGATTAATAAATCGACCAAGAGAAATTGCTGGAAATAGTTTTTAAGTTCGTAGCTCGGCGGCTAGGGAGCGCAATCTACTTACCAAAACGTAGAGTTGAATTTTTCTCAGAAATGTTTCCTATTCAGATATATTATATTATATTAAATAGTACAAATATGGCTAGTAGGATTCATTGCACATAACTTTTGTTATTGACATTTTGTTCTATCTTTCGACAGAAAGGGTAGGGGAAGCCCCTAATGTTTGATCAGAAAAATGCATTTTTTGCATTGGCTCATCAAAAGTCCATAATGTTATACCTCCATAGAAAGGTATTTTCAAGCTTTCTTTCTTGGTGAAATCACGCAGGCGAGTGAGTCAATAACAACCTTGAAAATAATAAAAACAATAACAAACAGATATTGATATTATGTAACGAAAGAACACTTTAATTTTAACAAAAGTAAAGATTGAAAATTGATAAATGTGAGTTTTCCATTGTAACTTAAGAACACTTTAATTTTAACAAAAGTAAAGATTCAAAATAGATAAATGTGAGTTTTCCATTGTAACTTATTTTAGAAATGAGAAATGTTTCAATTTTCTCACAATCCTTTTATTTTTAAAAGACTGGTTTCGAGGTCAAACATTACACCTCATCTTCAGGTCTTATAAGGATATCACAATTACAGGAAAATTCAACCATATTACTATCCAAAACATATTGGGATTTTGTCAACAATTCCACTTTTTTTAAAAACAAATTTTAAAGACCAAATACAAAACAACGTTACAAACAGGTATTATTAAATCTAACTTTTCAGGACAAAAAAAGTCCTCAATTCATTATCATTATATATTTTTTGTTTACTAATTTGCGAATAACTTGATAACAAAAAAAGATATCGAACCCTTTCTGGCATCAAAATGTAGCTATTTTTGTGCTCTTCAAACTAACGTAAAACGTAAAAAGTTTTATCCTGCTTTTTCACTTTTTTAAGAAAAAGTGAAACAACCTAAACTTGGATAAATAAAATAAAAATAAATAAACAACACTTTCTTTAGAAATTTCAAACTTAGACTATATTCATCAATTATTTGTGCTTAATTCATTTATGTAAAGAAAACTATAGCAGTGCATTAAACATTTTTAAGAAAAAACGATAAAACGACGGCATGCTTTTGAATTAACGCCATCTATAGGTTTCCATATTGAGGTAAACGACATTACGCATTCACCACGAGCAAGCATGAACAGACCTTTCCAACGAGGTATAACATTATGGGCTTCTGATGAGCTAATCCTCAAAAAATGCATTTTTCTGATCAGACATTAGGGTCTTCCCCCACCCTTTCTGTCGAGAGATAGAACAAAATGTCCATAACAAAAGTTATGCGCAATGAATCCATATTTGTACTATTTAATATACTTGAATAGGAAACATTTCCGAGAAAAATTTAACTCTGTGTTTTGGTATGTAGATCCTAGAGGTCGAGCTGCGAACTTGGAAATTATTTCCAGCGATTTCTCTTGGTTGGTTTATTGATAAAAAAAATTTCCCTGTAGTTCTAGGCCTATACTTTCCCTAATATCGTACCTTGCCGATCTTAGTGGGACACCTTGTACAATATAGTGAGCTATAGAGCTTAAGAGCATACTTGAGTAGTGGGTAGGTTTCCGTCTTGTTTAATGAAACTGCTAGGCTACCAGAGTTAACGTTCGAACACTACCTATGATGGCATCGTAAAGGTCTTACAGATATCTTTCCCTTAGGTTCGGACTTTTCAACTCTAAGATTTTGCAGATTCTTGAAGTCTACTCGATTCGTACTGATATCTGGGCTATCGAAAAGTCGAAATTGGGATAATTTTTCAGTGTGTCCAGCGCGTTGTAGGCAATCGCTCTGTCCTCACTATCGGCTTTTGTCGGTCTCGTCTACTGTAGCTCTTGGCATTTGGAGTGATTCGGAGCTTCGGGGATAGCTTTGTCGGAAATTTTGGAAATCTAGTTGAAAATTCGTTTTCCGTTCCGCGTCTTCTACTTCCCGCGGACAGTTGGTTAAATGCCTTCGAGTATCGGCTACTTTTCGGAGGTTTCCCTCGCGTGGTCTGCAGACGGTTCTGTAGCTCAGATCTGAAAGTGGAGCGAAATTTGAAATGGAATGTTGGGATCTCGAATACGACAAATATCTAGGACTCCCAGGAGTTTGTTTATTTGATTGCTTGGGTCGTGTAGAACTGTAAAACAGTTAATCACGCACGTGCGTAGTGCGAGTCATTCACATGAATAGATATAGAATTGCATGCGCGAATTTGTATTTACATTTCAAACGATTGTATTAGTTATATTAATCATTCAAAGATTGTTATGTTTATTCCCTTTCGCAAATAAACGAAGGTTTTGACAACTCTAAAATATTTCTCATTTTTTCGTTACGGGTGTCAGTATTATAGGATATTTTTAAACTGGTTTTCCATAATGATAACTAAAATTTGTTCATTATCATCAGTAGAAATATGAAAATGAGTCTGTGATTATTTGTTTCATCAATACTTTATTTCTATGAAATATACTTTTCTATGGTTGCAAAATGTTGAATCAAGTTTACACCTGTCAAATTATATTTCTATTCAAATTATTATGATGTAATCTAATTTACATTCACGTAACAATAAGTTTGTTGATATTAAAAAAATGGATTCTTTAGATTAGACCGGAAGCAGTATTTGGATAATAGTCCAGGCAAGGAATGTATAAAAAAGAGGATCTACATCTTTTCTAGGGTAACGAAAGATTAAAGAAATTGGATTTGGCAGTTATAGATTGTTCATTATTCAAATCCATTTGCTACTTTGTTGACAATTTTTCTGTGATGTATTAAAATTAGATACAGGTTTACCTCAAAAAATTGTTCCTGACGGAGATACGGTTTATTTTCAATCTGTTTCACAGGCAACTCTTATGACAGTGAAAATAATTCGAATTTTATGCCGGATTAGAATTCTCAAACGATTTTACGCAAAAAATGGTTGCAATTGTTGAGTTACAAGCTCCGACGCAGCAGTGATTCACAATACAACAAGAGATCAGTTATATAAGTATGTCTATTTTTTGTGTAGATTATAAGAAAATTGAATTGAATTGAATTTCAAAAATTGTTTATGCCACTCTTGTTAGATTTATTTAGATATATTAATTCCTCTAATGTTAACTCTGTTATTAACTACGATTAGAGATCTATCTCAAAATTGGCAGCCACTAGCGTAAAAAACAAAAAAATTCAAAAAATTTTCTTTGATACCTTGATGTGAATTATCCTGTATATCTTTGGAATGCTATACTCAATTACTTTATTTATTTCTTTAGCTTCTTTTTCTATAAAAGAAATGAATTAAGTACTCTTGAAATATTAGTAATTATCGCATTTTTTTTAAATTTTTTTTTAAGAGACAAAGAAATTACTGTCGAATCTAACATTTTTGCAAAATGACCTACATTCGATGGTTTATTAAAGAAGTTACTAAAACACACATATCTCTTTCAGTATGATATTATAACATCTGATTCTAACGGATGTACAGATTTGAGAAAATATTTGCATTTTGTAAGTGGTTTGAAGTTTCGAATCGTTTTCATGGTTTATTCAGCATTTCACGGATAACTTCCTATTTATCTGCTTGAAGCCACTTTAAATCTTTAAAAATATGTTAATATTTCATTTTCCTTTTCGAATTCTGCATATAACTTGCCGAAAACTGCTTCCATTTTAGTAGCATTAAATATTATATAAGGGTTTCAGAAAAAAATCCGATAATTTATATTTTACGTTGTTGAAGTTGACTCCTATTAATCTATCTCTAAAAATATTGCTGTTTGTGGAAATAGTAATGTATTTCTGGAATTAATTCATTTTCCTGGAAAACTTTTATAAATTATTTAAAATAACCTTTTTTGTCGATTTTTTTTTTAATTTCATCTTATTTTCTGTAGAATACTCGTTTTCTTATTTTTCTATGGCATTATTGATAGTTACCTATTAAAAATAAAGTTTGCTGTGTTATGCACATATTCCGTTGAGTTTGAAATGTACTGTATTTTGGATTTCTGTTTCAGTGTCCGAAGAGGAAATGGATGAATACTATGAAGAAGAGGAGCAACCCCCAGATGAGACTGCTAATGAAATAGGGGTGCTTCAGATGTTACGGCAACACAGGGAGGATGAGGATGGCGAAGGAGAGTTTGGTTATGGTTACTTCGAAGAGGAATATTAGGAATTTTATTTGACTTATTCATATTCCAGACATTTTTAAATATTTTGAATATTATGTGTATTTATCTAAATCGCTTTCTATGGAATATTCTGTGCTAAATGAATTTATCATTTTATTTTGTATCTTTTTTAGTTAATTTTCATTTATTTGACATCTTCCATGTAAGTATTTATTTATTCTTTATTTATATAAACAATTGTATTTAGTTATGTAAAGTATGAATTTGTTATAATTGATAATGAAATAAAAGAGTTGTTGGCGCTATTTGTTTTAATTTTATTGAAAGAGTACACACTCTGGTTAGGTATCCATAGTTATTACACTGCGATGTTCCTGGGTTGACGTTCGTACACTGGTTGGGTGGACTCCGCCGAACTGCCTGGTGCATGGTCCGGTCTAGATCCACAAAATTTGGAGTTTGGAAAACTGCGTCTTCGACGATTACGGGCGTCTCTTAAAGGTTGAAGGGTTGAAAATGATTTTGGTTAGTACCGACCCCAATTAGGGGTGGGCGTTTGAAGATTCTAGAATGTTTTCATTTTCGCCAATTTTTGGAAAGGTCAATGGAAATCCCGGCGCTCATTCTCTGTTGGCAGCTTCGGGGAGAGATCGAGTATGGGTTGATGTCGCCGTCTGAGAGAACGGAGGACTTTTAGCGGCTTGGCCGGTAAAATTTGAAAAGAAGCGTGAAATTGTTGTTCTTCCCGCACGATCGGAGGGGTATTGCACTGTTTGTACGCGTGTCTGCATCCTCTAGGGTATCTACGGCGAGTTTGCGGCAATCAAGGCTTCCTCGTCATTTTTGAATCATGCGCGGTCGGAGGGACACAGCCGCTCCGTTATATGCGTGGCAGCATTGTTAAGTGCATCTGGAATGATTCTGGCGACAATCGCGACGTCTGCGGGGTCTCGGCGATAAAGCATTGAAAAGATCGGCGAAAACACGATTTCTCGCTCTGCCTCCTCGAAGCGGCGTAGTAGATCATCTGTTACAGTTTGTCACCGGTTAAATACTATTTCGTGGGAACTGCGCCTTGCGCGATGTGCTCTCTGCGTATGTATTGGATACTTGAAAACATTGTCGAATTCTCATTGTTTTAGCGGGAACTACGCTATGTACTGTGGATTTCACACAACATGAAAGGAACATGATCGGAGCACAGTACCCGAAATGAAAACCAGCCTTTATGCTGGCGGGAATTGCGCCATGGGAGCTCCTCTTGAAAGATTGTTGCGAATATTCGAATCATGGGCGAAATTTCAAGTGTGTACTACAACAATATAACAATAATAAACTATAAGAAGTAGATTTTAATATGCCTTATTATAATCGAAAGTAATTATAATTTTACATCTACTTTCAAAGTTAACATTAGGTTAATTTAAAAAAATCAACACCTGTAATCACTATTTTTAGGTTATATCACGGTATCACGGCTTAAACATAGTATCTGTTTATCGAGGTGGATCTTAAATTCAAGGAAGAAATTAAAAATTGCAATATAAGTTATTTTGAAAAATGGATTAAAATGATGTCCGTAACATCCTATATAGAGTGAAAAATATACTATGGAGAAATTGATTTGGTTCAAATATTCTTTTAGACACTTTTTTGTATTATTAGTATTATTAAAGTTACGAAGAAGACTTTTTTAAATAGAGACTATTAGTAATTATTACTATGCTTTAGATCGGGTATTTTTTTTCTAGGACCGACTGGTATCGATCCTGGTATCCCTTACAGCATTAGAATTATAAAAATCTACACCGTTTTCTTAAAATCACATGGAAAAAATACGCCCAAGAGCAAGCTGTTATAGTTTTTTGTTTGATATCAAAGGTTATTAACGAAATTGCGCGTATTTAAGTTAATGGAAAGGTTTTTAGTTGTTTTAAGCAGTACAGGAATTTTTAAGGTTTTAGAACAGCCAAAACTTTTTAAAACGTAATTTCATTATTTAAGAGCAAAAAAATATTTAAAAATAACGAAACTGAGAGCTATTTACAGAAGAAATTTCATCTCGTATTGCGACGCTTACAGCTAAATTAATTATTCCTTTATTTTAACTCCCTCTGCGCGTTTTTAGTTTCTGTTCTTTTTTACCACAAAATTTAGATGAAGATTTATAAATTAATTTCCAAGTTTGCTTTCAGTTATATATAACTGAGGAGTCTTTCGACTCTTTTTTAAGGTAATAAATATCTGAATAAGTAAACATTTAACAACAGTAGATTTTGTGAGAATTGTTTAAAACAAATTGACTGAATAATAAATTTAAATTCTGCGACTCATTTTTATCCATAGCTCTAAACACATGTCTTTGAAGGCAGTTACTGATTATTATATGGACCGTGTTAACAGTTTTTAGAGTTTTAATTATATATTACACAGCCCTATGAGAAAAGTAGGAGGTTCGAAAGACAAGACCATGGTATCTGTATATTTTTGGGGTCGCTGAATCCGAATCCGGCATCCGTTTGATCCAATTAGCTCTGGGTTAAGGTCAGTTCAAGGTCAGATATAGAGAATCAATTGCCAACAAAGTGAACCAATATATCTATATGTTTTTGGGGTCCCTGAATCCGAATCCGGGGTCCGTTTGACATGGATTGACGAAAATGTTGTTCGGCAAGGATGTCGGCGATTCGGAAAGCGCTCGGCTTCTCTAGCGTTGCATCTTGCTTTGACATAAATAATATGAATGTCTGCATACGAATGTAAATCGGTCAACTTCAACAACTTAGAAGCAGAATTTCGTCGCGAACAAAACAAATATTGTGAAACACTCAATTAGGTTCGATCATATGACGGCTCCGTTCAATTGTTTCACAATTCCTCACATCATGACACAGATTACATTGCACGGCTAGATTAGATGCGTGCAATAGAGCTTTTATCACACAGTTGTGGATAAAATTAATTTTTACCAACATCGTATGTAGGTAAACACCCATCAGAAGAGATAAACGTGTTTATTTTGTTTCAAATCATTTTTTGCGTTATCCTTAATAAAAATTATTTAAATATCAGTCTTTTGGTATCAACGAGATAACATTGAGTTTTTGAACAAAAATTGCTCCAGGGCCAAAACGGCTCATTTCCGACTGGGGGTTTATATGCAAAAATTTTCTACAATATCCTCTGTGTCCCCCGTAAGTTTGGCAACACCTTTTTGAAATACCCTGTATAAGAATAAAAAGAATTATTTATCTAGTAGTCAGATTTGTGGAAATACCAGTGATCTTCGAGCTCAGCAGTTAAGACTGACTTTATCAGCAGGAGGTTCCCAGGATGTATGGTTGTACGTTATAATCATGAACCAAGTTGCTTAAAATCCTCTGATAATCCAGAATCATTTAAGTTGAAAATAGAAAAACATTATTCTACTCGATACATGAATTTATGCAGTCTCCATTTGATGAATTAACTAGTTTTTTCAATATTTTTTACAACTGATAAATATTCATCTCTTTAAGATTGTTAGTTGAACGTGTTTTTTTGTGATTCCGTGTTTTATATCAATCATTATTTGTTTTTTTGTGTACATCTTAGTAATAATTAATGATTTAATATTGACTTTAATGTAATTATTGATGTTGCTCATATACTTATTTGTGTGACTTGCCAAAAATTTGTATTGCAAATTGCAAATCACATTCTACAGTAACCTGAAAGTGTCATGAATACGTCGAATAAGCATTTGTATGCAAGGCAACGGTAACAATTTGGAACATTTCTTGTAGCACATAACCTTAGAATTTTTAAATTTTAGAATGGGTAAGTTTTCTCAGAATTTCCTATTTTGCTTGATTAAAAAAATTTTTTTTTTTAAACGCCCTCATTTCAGAATCTATAAATATACTAAGAGGAAAAAAGAGGAAAACTCTACTTTTCTTGATCCGTTTCCTATATTCTCTATAAAAGAAATATTATTTCATGAGAATGACGCCATTAATAAAACAAATGGAGTATGAAGAAAATTACCTTATCGACCTCAAACAAGAACGCCAGCAGAATTACTCGCAAGGGTTGCAGCTCTATTTATAATACGGGTTAAGGTAAAAGAGGCCCTGTAACCCAAAACTTTAGTAAAGTTAAATCTAATTTACATTCACGTGAATAACATAATACTTTAGATCTTGTTCTCTGTTTGAATGGTATTTTCGTGAGGTGTGATAGGTAAGTTAGAGAAATGGTAAATCGAATTAGGGGTACATGAAATTAATTAATAGAATAGAATAAATGCAACCTTGTTTTTATGTAGAAATTTAAGAAAATTTACCTAAGTTTACCTGCTCTATGTATTTGCTTATTATTTCATTACAATAAAATAAACTGTTAGCTCATTTTAGTTTGATTGGCATAGCTCATGATGCTAAATTTGATTTATTACTTATTAACGAAATAGATCCATAGTTAGTTATTTCGCGTTTAGAATTATTTTTAAAAATAGATTTTATTATACTTACTTTAAATGCAGTTGGACACTGACTTTCAAGTACTGATTTATTAATAATAAACGTAAGTGGTCTTGTAACAATATACAGGATGATTCATTAACAATGGGAAAATCGAAAGCTGAAGATACTACACGTGAAATAGTGACCATTGACGCAAACATGCATTATTCGAAAGTTGATACTTTCAACACCCTGTATTTCCGAAACTATCAACTTTCGGATAAGGCATGCTTGGGCCAATGGTCACCATTTCACGTGTAGTATCTTCAGCTTTCGACTGTCCCATTGTTAATGAATCACCCTGTATGACAATTTTTTCAAAACTTGGGCGAATATGGCGTCGATGCCGGGGAATTTGAAATTTTTTATTTCATTTATGATTTTTTAAATATCAGATGGGTTTGAAGGCGATAGAAATATGGATTTGACCTGATTTTTTTTTTCAAGTGTTGCATTGATTTTACTAGCTAAAGATTTAGATGTTATTGAAATTCTTCAGTGATTCTAATTATAATTGTGTGTTCAAATTTTTTAAATTTGCCGTTATTTGTGTTCTTTGTACAAGAATGGTTTTGTTTTTTGACAGCTATTAAGTAGAAACATGGCGGTTAATAAATATGGAGCAGTATACGATTGAATAACGCGTCTTTTTATTATTAAAAATTATTTTAAATTCAGTGATGCAGGGCTTGGAAGAAAATATCGTACAAAATACGGAAAAAGAAATAGTCCAACAAACAGCACCATTCGAAATATTGTGAGTAAATTTGAAGAATAAAATCGGATCAATTGAAGAACAAAAAAGTTAAAATTGCAGTCGTAGTTGTCGTTCACAAGAAAATATTGAAGCTGTCAATGATAGTGTTACTGCAGATTCAAACACATCAATTCGTCATCGTTCACAGAAATTAGGCGTTAAACAAATCACTTTATTCAATATTTTGCATAAGGATGTTCAGTTAAAAGTTTACAAAATATAGTTAACATAAGAATTATTGTTAACTGATTATGAATAATTACATCATACATAATTGGGTTTTTGCAATGAAAGAAGAAAATGATGATGATGGTGATGATGATGAACACAGCTCATTTTGAAAATGGTGGATATGTAAACAAATACAATTGTCGTATCTGGGAATAGAGAATAGAGAAAAATACCCACGAGTAATATTGGAATAATGAGTACATCTACAAAAAGTAACTGCTGTTGGTATGGTTTTTGGTCTGGTGGAGTGATTAGTCCATACTTATTCGAAAATGAAGCTGGAAATATTGTTACTTGGAATGGTGCTCGATATTGAACGATGACTAATAACTTTTTATGGGATGAATTGGAGCGTATTAATGTACAGAATATGTGATTTTAATAGGACGGTGCAACATATCATACCGCAACGGAAACCATCGATCTTTTGAAATAGAAGTTTGGTAGTCGAATAATTTCTCGAAGAGGAGACTGGCCACCAAGATCATGCGATCTATCACCATTCTTTTTATAGTTTTTTTTTTAAAGCAAAGTTTATGCTGACAATCCTCAAACCATTCAACATAATTAAGCAAATCACACAAATTGAACCACTATTATGTGAAAATGAGATGGAAAATTAAACAAAAAGATTGAAAGTTTGTAGAGCTGCAAGAGGTGGCCACTTATATGACATTCCTTTCCATTATTAACCGCAACATGTCTACTTTACTATTCAATAAAGATATCTCGTTATTCCTAATAAGTTACGTGTTTTATTAAAAATCAAGTTAACTCAAATTTGAACACCCTTTAGATTCTACTTGAAGGTGATTTCTTCGAGATATTTTATCTAGAAATCAGTATAAAGTTAATTAGAAAGAGTATTCCACGTAGAAATTATCTGAACGTCTATGATCCTCTTGCGAGATATCTTCTGGAGGAAACAGAGACGCTCCTAATTTTCCGGTCGTGTCTGACTGTACTTATTTATACAATGCTTCCGGCTGATTGTTTTTTGACCTTTTACAAGATTTAATTTCGAACGATGGGGGTCACCACAAGACTGGCAAAACAGGAAGGAAAAAAATCATAGTAGTCACGGAGTGGAAAGAATAACAAACACCAAAAACAACAAACGGAAGAGGACGTCAGGAATAAGGGTTATTGCACCGCTTCCCATGTTACAATATTTTGTTTGCAAGCTGTAGGAGAACGGCAATAAAAATTGATTTTCTAATAAGCTGAATACAAAGTACGAAGTGATATTACGACAACGATAACCAAGTATCTGCACCAAATCACAGTTCTTTAAAAAATATGGGTAATTCTTGGAGGTAATAAGTTTATGGAATATTATTATTTAGTATACAGGCTATCTTACGGTGACAGACCATTAGAATATTTCAAAGACTACTTTCCGGTTTCCATTTTGAAAATTTAGTTTTTGAGGTTTTCGGAGGTAATCTCTTTAAATGAAATATGTAATGTCATTGTTGTAGCACTTCCGGTTATACCGGAAGTCGCCTTCAACCTGCTTATTTTAAATAGAACACCTTGTAATTTTTGCTTATTTGGGTTCTACGCGTAATTTTACTTTTATCCTCGAATGGTCTTCAAGAGATTCGAAAATCAATCCCCATAAATAAATATGTATTTATTTATTTAGCATATACAGTACGCGCCTAAAGTATGGAATAAATTAAGTAAAAACGAAACAATTTTTTTTGGGAAAAATCCTCGACTGGTCGATTTTTAATTTAAAAAATACATATTTTAGCATAAAAGGCGATTTTCAACCGTCATTTGTTTTGGAGTAATGACGTCATCGAGATTTTTTTAAATAGCAACCCACTATTTTTTTCTTGATTCTGAAAGATCGTTTCATTGTCGATCCGACAGTATAAAAATGTTGCCATCTTACATAGGAAAGTTTTCGAGTAAATGACGATTGAATGTTAGAAACAGTACATTTTATTCATTAAAAAAATAATAATTCCTGTGTCAAGCAAATACAATTCATTAAGTTTTCTACCTAAATTAAGTGTTCGAATTGCCACCCACCGACTTCTTGACAATACGCAAGTCTGTGTAGAAATTCTTCTTGCACATTATGAATTATTTCTGGGGTAACTCTGTGTATTTCATCTATAATACAATTCTGGAGTTTTTCTAAATTATGTGGTCTATTAACGTTTACTTTGCACTTGAAGTAGTCCCATAAGAAATAGTCCAAGGCTGTAAGATTTGGGGATCTCGCGGGCCATTTCATTGGTCCTCGTCTGCCGATCCACCTCCTAGGAAAACAATTCTCCAGAAAATCTCAAACAAGGCGCGCATATCGCGGAGGTGCACCGTCTTGCTGAAACCATATGGTGTCATCAGGAATATCAGGGTCATTATCGTTAGGAAAAATTACTGCTAGCGCTGGAACAAGGTTATTTTGTAAAAACTCTAAATATCTTTCTCCTGTAAGGGTTCCTTCAAAGAAGAAAGGCCCTACTATTCTGTTGTCAACTATTCCAGCCCACACATTTAATTTCTGTGGGTGTTGGGTATGTGTCTCTGCCATCCAATGAGGATTTTCCCGACGCCAATACCTGCAAGTTTGACGGTTCACTGTATCATTGAGACAAAACATGGCCTCGTCTGAAAAACCAATCGTGAAGTATTATGAGGATTATCTACCATACTTATCAAAGTGTTCTCTTAGTGATCTTCACTAACGCTTGGACGTCCAGGTTTTGGAATATCTACAACCTTGCCAGTTTCTCTAAATTTAGATTCCATCTTACTGACTGTTGATTGGCTGATACGGCGATCTGGATGCTTTTCATTAAATAAATTGCAAACTTCCTGCTGCGTTCTAGTTTTATCCCCGCATTCGATAAGAATTAAAATTTTAATTCTTTGTGTGATAGTTAAATGTGCCATAATACTTTATATTCAACAATAATTTTTATATCGCTTACAATACTTAGAAAGTCGGTATGACAGTGACACTTTGTAAAGATTTATACCTACGTGATCCATAAAAAATTTCAGGAATTTCGAAAAACTAAATTTGATAACGTTTTTGCTTTATTTTAATTGATTTGGGTTTTCTAACATTCAATCGTCATTTACCCGAAAACTTTCATATGTAAGATGGCAACATTTTAATACTGTCAGATCGACAATGAAACGATCTTTCAGAATCAAGAAAAAAATAAGGGGTTGCTATTTAAAAAAAATGTCGATGACGCACTACTCGAAAACAAATGACGGTTGAAAATCGCCTTTTATGCTAAAATATGTAATTTTTAAATTAAAAATCGACCTGTTCGAGGATTTTCCCAAAAATAATTTGTTTCGTTTTTATTTAATTTATTCCATACTTTAGGCGCGCTGTATGTAGTATAGTGCAGGTAGTATAGAATATGCTGCAAATAAATCACAACAATAAGGTGGAACTAAAGTGCTGTCAATGTGGGTGGCCAGAAAAAGTGTTCTGCATCTCGCCTGGATGAATTTTACCAATTAGATTGGAAACGTAGGCAAAAATTTCCTCGTTACTACTTGGAATAGCTTCTGAAGAGCTTGTGCTGATCGACCCGAAATTTTTCCATTTATACGGAGGCTCCGGTTCTTGAAGTCGTCCTTCCATCATACCGAATAGTTGTTGTGCGGTGACTTGACTACCTCGACTTAAAATTTCGAAAGTAAAGCGAAATATTGTTCCTTAAACTGCTAAGACAGTGCAAGAAAGGGATGTAGAATAAATTTTAGATAATATCCTTTAAGAATTTCTTATTTAATACCAAATGGTCAAATTGTAATACCTACATTTTTCATATATTTCACACTCCTTATAACTTATAACGATAATGACATGAATAATGTTTTTACTGTGGAATGCAGACAAATAAAAACACAATCTATAACATTTTCTTTGAATTAATTTAGCACAATTTCCTATAATTTATTATGATGCGCTCGTCTTAGTCCCTCTGAGGTAGTCGTGATACTCGACAACAGCCCTCTCTTGCCCGTATGTCTCCACTGATCCGGGCCTCCAACATCTCAAATTATACACCGCTGTCTCGGGTCTCAAACCCAGGAAATGCACCAGGAAACACGCAGCCATGACGCCCGTCCTCCCCCGTCCCATTCGGCAGTGCACTCCAACACTCTGGAACAGAAATACGCATTGGGAAATACCAAATTGCAGTAGCAAATCGCTACGGAAGTATTATGGTCATTTTAAAAGGTTTTAATCTGCTGATTCCTTTATCCATGTTAAAAAAATAATATACTACGTCGTAGGCCGATTATCACATTCCTGTTTTCAGATTTTAGCGTTGTTATTTTAACTTAAAAATATAAATAATTTTAATATCAGTTAAAGTTATCATTCTTCGTGGCTTTTTCAATAACTGCAACTTTGAGAAGTAGCCACGTGAAAATGTTTGACTTTTTGACTTAATGAAACTTTGAGCAACTTGTAATGGAAAGTTTTCGAAAAATCGCTATCGCATTAATACAACTTGAAGGCATTTGATTTTAAATAACAAATGCTATTACAAATTAATTTTGGGTCATAGGTGCTTTGGTACTTTTACCGTTTTACTTACGCGGCGATGAATAATGAACTGGCATAATGACCTGCACCCTTTCCAGATTTATTCTGACTTTTTTCTTGTGAGAACTCAATAGTTTAACAATTTACAGTGATTAAATTTTTGTCTGCATTTAACTCATCAAATAAATATGTATAATAACATAATTTGAAACAATGTTTTTTCATAACTTAGAGGATGGAAAAAACAACTTCATTAAAATATTGGAAAGAAAATAATTACCGATCAGGCATGATTAATATTTTAACCAGCTCGACTTGAAAATAAAAATTAGGTAGTACTCGTAATAATTTATTTAAAAAATCTATTTTCAGTTTCTAAAGTCTCGAAAATCGTTGATTCTTCCTAAATCAATAATGTTTACTTGGGTTCACTTCCTGAAATTGCTGTTATCGAAAAATTTCATTAAATCGCTCGCCATTTACAGGGTGTTTCAGTTCGAATGAATCAAACTTTCACGACAAATAAATAAATAAAAGTTATACTTGTTGAAAATCGTTAAAATGTATCGTTTTACCGAAAATCTCTGTTGAATGAGAGACCGTTCTTCTGATAAAAAAAGACAAACACTAACTAAATTTCAAATCTTTAGAATAAAATGACATTTCCTGACGACAGATAGGTCTATTATTGTTTAGTTGTTTTTTTCATCAATCAGCAATCGTTGTTTACGGGTACTGTAATGGACGCACAGCGCAGATTTAAAATTAATATACAGGGTGTCCGGTAAGTACCTCCTAATCTCTCGGGAGTGTATAGGGGAGGTCAAAGTAAAACTAGTCCTCCCTATAATTTTTTTCCTAATGTGCCCCCTAACGGAGTTAGGGGGGGTCAAAGGGGTACCTATAAATTAACGTTTAGGGTTATAACTTTGAAACCACCCTGTATATTTTAATAAAATTTTCGTACGTTGTATTACACATGGAGCTCTACGATTTGATGCTAAAATCAACTTTTTGCTATTATCAGGTGTCCAGAAACGGACTGGCCCTATCACAATTTTTCTCAAAATTTTGACAGAAGTAATTTTATCAAACTGAAAATATTATTATTAGATACTCTGAAGGTTTTTCTTTAAAAATGGTACTCTTTATTTATTTCGAAAAAATGAACGGTTTGCGAGATAAATCGGTTTTGAAAAAAATTGGTAACAAATACAACAATTAAAATTTATTTTTTTTACATATTATTTCATGCATTTAATTTCTTTAACTTTATCAAGTCCAGAAATCTTTGAACGGGTTGGCTATACTTTATGAGCAAGTAGTGACCAATTAAAAATAACATTTGAAAAATAACTTACTTACAAGACATGCAACAAAGAACATTCAACAATGAACAAAGGTACCTAAATGTTACTTCGGTAGATGTTCAAAATGAGCACCCCGTACTTCAATGCACTTTCTAATCCTACGAATGTTTTCCCGGTGCACTTGAAATAATATTCCGTGATTATTGCGGAGATGGTCACAGTTCTGTGTTAGCCTCAGCAGAAGTTCCTCTCTACTATTTACGGGTGTTGAATAAACGTTATTTTTTAAATGACCCCACAGAAAAAAGTCTAATGGGTTTAGGTCGGGCGACCTAGGTGGCCATAATACAGGTCCGCCTCGACCTATCCATCGATCACCAAAAACATTCGTCAGATGTTGACGTACTAAACGATCAAAGTGGGGTGGTGCACCGTCATGCATGTACCACATTTCAGTTCTTATTTGAAGGGGCACTTCTTCTAACAAAATATTTAGATTTTCCTCTAAAAATTGCAAATAAAGAGCACCATTAAGTCTTTGCTCCAGAATAAATGGACCAATCAAATGATTCCCGATAATGCCAGCCCACACATTCACCATAAACCTTTGTTGGTAGCGAGTTTGAACTAAAGCGTGAGGGTTTTCTTCATCCCAGACATGTAGATTATGCGAATTAATTATGCCGTCTCTTGTAAAACCTGCTTCATCGGTGAACAAAATAGATGTACCAAAATTATGATTCCGAATATGATGCTGTAAAAACCAATTGGCGTATTGAAGTCTTTTTGGATAATCATCTGGAGACATAGCATGTACTTTTTGGATGTGGTACGGGTAAAGCAATTGTTCTTTCAGAGTTTCATGTACAGCCCATTTTGTAACATTGTTTTGCGCCGCAAGCTTCCTTATGCTATTTGAAGGATTATTAGCAACGTCTTCCAATATTTGTTCCTCTACATGAGGGTCTCGTACTCTCCTCGGGGCTCCTGCTCCACCACGGCGTGGCAAAAAGCTTCCTAAATAAAGGATTCGGAAGAAATTAGTTTCACTAACGTTTTTCACTATTTTTTTTTACCTGTTTCTCTTAAACTACGATCAACTCTTTCAAAAGTTTTTGGACTCGGCAAATGTCGACCCGGAAACCTTTCCTCATAAAGTCTTCTTGCCTCCACGGAGTTGCATAATGCTTCCCCATAAATTAGGTGCATATCAGCATATTCTGCACAGGAATATTCTTCCATTTTTAAATGTTATTTCTAACGGCTTAAAACGAATACCACAATAAAATTGAATTTTTATTCTGTCACGCGCCTTTGACAAGTACTTTAAAATCAACAGGGTCTAACAACGAAAACAATAGAAAAGAACTCCATGGAGACAAGAGCAATAATAATTTGTAGATGTATTTTGGTCATAGATGTTGATTTTACAAGAAACGGCATTATTCATTCCCTTAATTCACCACCAGTAAATGTTTATGGTGAATCTGTAGGCTGGCACTAGCGGGAATGATTTTATTGTAAAAAAATAAATTTTAATTGTTGTTGTATTTGTTACCAATTTTTTTCAAAACCGATTTATCTCGCAAACCGTTCATTTTTTCGAAATAAATAAAGAGTACCATTTTTAAAGAAAAACCTTCAGAGTATCTAATAATAATATTTTCAGTTTGATAAAATTACTTCTGTCAAAATTTTGAGAAAAATTGTGATAGGGCCAGTCCGTTTCTGGACACCTGATAATAGCAAAAAGTTGATTTTAGCATCAAATCGTAGAGCTCCATGTGTAATACAACGTACGAAAATTTTATTAAAATATACAGGGTGGTTTCAAAGTTATAACCCTAAACGTTAATTTCTAGGTACCCCTTTGACCCCCCATAACTCCGTTAGGGGGCACATTAGGAAAAAAAATTATAGGAAGGACTAGTTTTATTTTGACCTCCCCTATACACTCCCGAGAGATTAGGAGGTACTTACCGGACACCCTGTATATGTGTAACTTTTAAAGAAATTATATCTGTTTGAAACAAACGGACCGTTGAATGAACAAGGATACCTATAATTGCTTCAGAATGGCACAAATGAAATTTTATACAACAAAAAAATGAGCCCAGAGGGGGAATTCACCACATTACGAATGCAATAAATAATACACAAGGGATTATATTTAGAATTTACTAGTCGTTTCGCCAATGAATAGACATATTATTTAATATTATTTCGAATTCTAAGTTAATGCATGACATTATAATAATATTAATTTAAGAAACTAAATTTCTTAACAGAATAGCGGTCTCCCATTCAACTGAGATTTTCGTTAAAACGATACACTATATCTACCGATTTTCAACAAGCATACCTTTTTTACGTAAAATTGTCCACGGAATCTAAAAATGAATCCCAAATGATTATTAGGTCATTGGCGTAGAAGTTGGGGTAAAAAATCTCACTCTATTACCCATTCCTACGCCACTGACCTGAATTATTTATTGATTTTTATTTGTGGTTAAAGTTTGATTCACTCCAATTGAAATACCTTGTATACGTTACGGAGAGATAAGAAATATCATCTGTGCTCAGAATTTAAATTATATATATGCGTTATTCAATTCTTTTTAAAAATAGGTACCTAATTTAATTTTCAAGGTATCATCCGTATTCTCTTAAAAAATATGTTAGTGTAAAATTACCTCTATAAAAATTTTAAATAAGCAACTACTTATTTCTATTTTACAGGCTGATAATATCATTAATTTTAATCACCTATTCGGAAAGCCTAATGAACACAGAAAATCGAAAATAAATTTTACTCGACCTTTTAAAAAATAAGCAAATTGTCCCTTAACTCCCGTTAATTCGGCGCCCTACTTCGCAACAGGGAACGTGCCAGCGGACTATAGAGCGTTCGAACGTTAAAGCGAAACAGCTGATTTCCCCAGTCGTCTTGAATTTTACAATTGGTTTTAAAATCAAAGTTGATGAGAGAGTTTTTTTAGTCGTACTGTCATTTTAAATAGGTAGGTATGTAACATACTACTTTTTGAAAAACAATAAGTCACACAATAATTAACATTACATTACGTCAAGATTTACTCCCGATAAACCTTTGTAGGTCAGCCATCAGGAGCGGAGGAGCAGTAAGGGGATTTAAATAATGATTTCAAAAATTTTTTTTTCAGCGTAAATATGCATTTAAAATTTTTTTTATCGCGTATTCGCAAGCTACTGCGAAATGTCTCGAAATGTATTTTTATGTTTAATTTTAATTATACAGGGTTATCCAAAACTCCCGGTACGGCAGAAAAACTTTCGAAGAAAGCATTTTGGGAAAAAATGTTTCAGACAAACGTGTAAGGATTTTTCCCTGGCTATCTGATGGTGACTATGGATTTGACCTTGACTTTGACCTTCAAGGTCACTTGAAGGTCAAGTTAAGTTTTTTAAAAGGAAACCTCTATTTTTTATTGCGGATTTGGAAAGAGCAGGAAATTATACGTCCAAAGATGGTCTTGACAATGACTTTGACAATTACCTTCAAGGTCAAATGTGGGTCGACTTCCAAAAGTCCAGTAAGGCATGCATTTTGGAAAAAAATGTTTCAAACAAAAGCGTAAGTATTTTTCCATGGCTATCTGATGGTGACCTTGGATTTATCCTTGACTTAGACCTTCAAGGTCATTGTCCCATATTTGACCTTGGAGGTCATTGTCAAAGTCACGGTCAAGGCCAATGTTGGATGTAAAGTTTTCTGCTCTTTTCAAATCCTCAATAAAACATAGGGGTTCCTATTTAAAAAACTTAACTTGACCTTAAAATGACATTGAAGGTCAAAGTCAAGTTCAAATCCAAGGTCACCATCAGATAGCCGGGGAAAAATCCTTATCCTTTTGTTTGAAACATTTTTTCCCAAAATGCTTCCTTCGAAAGTTTTTCTGCCGTACCGGGACTTTTAGATAACCCTGTTTAATTATTATCTTTGACATATCCATCGAAACTTACCTCTTTCTTCGCAAGGCTCGTCTCACAAATATTTATAAATGTGATCATATTGTCTAAGGTTGGGGGTTCAAACTCTTCGACTGGTATTAGCGTCCATTCTAATTTGGAGTTCGCGATAGGAGGAACTTTTTCCGGTGATAATGTTACCACATGTTTAATGCCATTTTGCCACAGGAAGTTTAAGTTTCCTTCAGTTTCGGGCCACGCCATCGCAGCCAGTTGATTTTCCACTACCCAGGAGAAGTTGTAAGGAGCATATGACTCCCCAAGATCTAAAAGCAAAGGAATAATTCTGATAAGTTGACGTGTTTCTGACGTTACTACGCTTGTACCTGATTACGGTGAACCATTCTCCACGATCTTATAAATCGGCACAAAATGGTCTGATCGAGTAAGCTGGCATATGAATTCTGATAAAAATATAAATTTTTAGCTCAAAGAAATTATCTTAAATAATTGGGAAATTTGAATCTCATTTTGGGAAGATACTGTCTTTTCAACATTATAATCTGACAATAAGATAAAATAATTTTTTTTTTAAACCGGTTCTGATTTTGTCTTTTTATTATGTACGTATGATATCAAAGTAAAGTGTCCCAAAATACACGCAAAAAAATAATTTTTATAGAAAACACAAGTCTTTAATTAAAATTTATAATCTTTTTTTTTGGTTCATAAAGTATCCAGTATAGGGTTATGTATGGAATAGAATAACGGGTAAATGTCCCCTACGGTACATATGCACTCTTTTATCGAAATTTTCTATGACCGTTTTGCATAAATGTGGCTGAATTTCGCACTCCATTTTCACCTTTAAGGCGTGGGTTGTAGTGAGCTTGTTGGCATAAACCTTAGACTTCAAAAAACCCTAGAGAAAAAAGTCCAACGGCATTAAATCGCATGATCTGGACGGCCAATTCTAATCTACATAACGGGAAATTACACGACTGGGAAATGGCTCATGCAGTAATTGAATTGTTTCTCTTGCTGTATGGCATGTGGCAGCATCCATATCTTGATAGTGAGTACCATTAACTGTTGTTGCCTGACCAGTCGCATTTTCGAAGAAGAATGGTTCTATGATGCCTCCAGCCCAGCAATCACTCGTGAATTTTCTGAATCCAAATGCGAAAATTTTGTCTTTTAACGAAGCCATCAAGATGAAAATTAGCCTCATCGCTGAAGATGATTTTGCATCCACTTCTTCGCTCTGCGTGGTCAGTAGGTTCAGTTTTTGAGTCAATTGAACTTTGTAAGCATGAATATGCAAATCTTTCGTGAGAATACGAGAGCTTCTGGAAATGTCCAATTCTTGACCATATTACCGAATTGATGTTCTTGGACTCTCACCAACACTCATGTTCTCTGTTGAACGACCTGTTGAAGGATGGTTAGAGTGTTTAAGATCACTTATGGATATATCTCTCTGAATTTTTCAATTAATCTCTTCACAGTTGATTGACTATTTCGGCCATAATTTGTACAAAAATTGCGACCTTAAGCTGCTAAACTTTCATTATTTTTAAAATATTGCTCAACAATGAAAACGTATTGTTTTTTAGTGTAGCGCCCGATCCTGAACTGTCAGCTGCCACGTTTTTTTTTTCGTTGGTAACACTTTACAGCATAAATGGAGCAAAATTCAAATTTTGCGCGAACTTTGGGACACTCGATGTATCGCAGTCACGCCAAAATTTAGAGATACACCTAAAATTCTTATTTCCTAAGAAAGTTCTCTTTAATATGTAAAGATATACAGGGTACTCCAGAACTTTTCCAAAAAACTTTGGGGATATTTCTACTATTAAAAATATAATCGAAATCATAAAAAAAGTTATAACGAAGTATGTTTGAGGAAAAAATGTTTAAAATAGTTATATTTAAAACATTACCTAACTTGACGACTGTACTAAGCTTACTAAAATTTATTTATCAGTAAAGTTTAAGTTTTTTGTGCTCGTCTTCCAATACAGAAAAAAAATATTTTGTTTTCTGCTGCATCATAGACAAAATCAGCACAGTCTTGATCTACTAGTGTTTTATTACTGTATAATATTTTATTTTTTGAAACAGAAATAACGACGAAATTTTTAATAAAAGTCGTTGAGAAAAAAGAGGGCTCTCACATATTTATGAAATTGAGGAAACTAATTTTGAAATAATAATTATCAAGATACAAAATATATTTTAAGTGAAATATAGATTCCGCTTGCAGTTTCCCATTTGCTCTTCCCTTTCTTCTATAATAGTGACCAACCATTAGTTTTGGGTCACCCTGTACAACCACATTTTTTTTTGGTTGGAAGTTAGGAATCACTTTCTATAAGGGATGCCTTTTAAAATGTACGTTAGGCCTATATCTTAGTAAATACATTGTTTCTAGTAAAAAAATAAAATGTTTTGCGTTACTACTCTACAACTTGATAAAATGGACTGAATCTTCCCCTCTGATACGCTAATGAGCTGCTAAACTTAAGCGAACACTGCAATATTCTATTGCCGATATTTCTACAGCAAAACGCAGAAACAAATTTTCAGTTTCGATATAAAATTAAGGGTATTGTGTATGTTGCTAGTCTTACCTAGAAACTCGTCGAGGAAGCTCGTCATTTTATTTCGACGTGCTCGCACAAATGCAATATTTGCAATCTACCGCTACAAATGTACTGCAAATATGTACCAAACTGACTGAGACTGAACAGCAGATTTGCCGTATCGAGCGAAAGGCAGAGTTGCGCGATTATACGAGTTATATGTGATGAAAACGAGGCGGCTGCGTCAATACCCAGAACTGAATGACCGATTAGTAAGTTGTGCAATATTGTGCGTTCCTAAAAAAATTAGTGACAGTATTCCAGGATAAATTTTATCGATATTGCTATTAATATGTTAACTTTATAAATAATAAAATGTTCGCTTACCTATTTCAAAAAACTTTAACTTTCTTTCTCTACTTCGACGTCATAAATATTTAAAAATACACTACGTAACGTTACAACATGTCAAAAATGAAAGAGCGTGTTCTTTGGAATAATTTTCTTATACAAATATTTGTTTCTGAAGCTTTTATATTTGAAATTGGGAGACTGAGAGGTATTAAAGTGTTAAAGAACAAATGACACCTAATATACAGGGTGATTCACAACTTATCCAACAAAATTTGGGAATAGATGCGGCATGAGAAATGGAGTCAATATCGAAAAAAAAATGTTTGTAAAATCTTTATAGTTTCCGAGAAAAAAATTATTGAAGTTATAGTAAATTCAACCACTACATAGCTGGACAACTGTAGTCTCTAGCGTCATTCGCAATGCGCGTGGAGAGCCACGTGGCCTTAGCGACTCCGAATACTGAAATCCGTCGTTGTGACATTGTTTACCTGTTAGCTGTGGTGTTTAAAACAATTTTTTAGTAGTTATTGTCAAAAATGGTTTGCGTGTATAGCAACTCAGAGTTGATAGATATCGTTTTAATTTATGGTGAAGCAAGACAACATTTGTATTATGGTAAAGCATTTGTGTTATGGTGAAGCAAGATATAATTTGTGTTAGTTCGTAGAAAGTGAGTACAACGGACCCAAATGTGTTTACACGGTGGTGGATAAAATTTTGAACAATTGTAACATCGGGTACGTCAAATGATTTTATTATTTAAAAAAACAAATTAATTTTATTAATTAATAAAGGCAAAAGCAGTTGAATTTGCCGATATAAAATAGGTGCGATAAAATTGTATTTACATATTTCTTTCATTGCGAAAGTTTTTGTCCGTTTTTATCACACCGCCATGCCGGTCGNGTAAATGCCATTATGATCAGACAGTTTCGAGTCGAAGGGTGCAGTAGAAATATCATTTAAAGCTAAATTAGTAAAAATGTTATCTAAACGATTTCTGCCTCGCGATAGACCAAAGAAGGCTTCACTTAAACCGTACGATGTGAATATGTCCTTCAGTATTCTTACACGGTTATTAAAAGTTTCTTGAACAGGTACATTAAAGTCACCCGAGACCAACATTATTTTATTAGTTTGGGTAAAATACGTTAGGGCTAAATCTAGCTTATCTAAAAATAAGTTAAAGTCGCCAACAGGAGAACGATAGACCGTCATAATTCTAATGCTACCCACCTCTGCTGCGGAAATCTCACAGTGTTGCTCCAAAGAAATTTCGTTTATCTGAGTTAAACTAATACAGTTGTGATAGATATCTAAAGCATATATAGCCACGCCACCGTGTTTTAAGTTTTTTCTGCAATATTTAGAAACAAGATTATATTTACAAATACTCACGTATTCTAAATCTTCCTGTGTACACCAGTGTTCATTAATTAAAAGAAAGTTAAAGTAAAAGTCACTCATTAATACCTCAAGTTCATCTGATTTACTCTTTATGCTTTGAAGATTCAAATGTAACAGTTTAAAATTAAAAGAAGTTTTATTTACATAATTAAAGTTGTAGCCCAGTTCTTCTGGGAGTTTGGGAGTATCTACTTGACTAAAAAATCATCAGCTGGAGGGTTTTTTCTCGGTTCTTTGTTGGAATCATCATTGAATTTTCTTCTAAATCTAAAACACTGAAAGGCGACATTTCTAGGCCAAAATTTTGGATCGTACACTGCTTCTTTTAACTCGAAATTCAAGCCAACTTGGAAGCACTTGTTATCGGGTGATGTTTGTTCCACTCGAGTTTGTAAGTGTTTAATAATCACTTCTTCGGGGTTTAAAATATTTCCTTCTTTGATTATGTAATTTTTAATCATTTCCTCATCCACTTTATCGGGTACTTTAGAAATAAATAACCATACCTTTTTAGGATTATCATCTCTTCCCTTAAAGTTTTCTGTTTCATCTATATCTCCCGTCCCCATAAAGACTTTTCTTTTGGATTTGGAAGATGTTATATTCGAGTTTTTGAGTTTAGGGGCATTTACTTCAGTTGCTACAATTTGCGCCCAAGAGGTTCCACTGGTTGAATTAGTAGTCTGGTTTTGTTGACTAAGTGACGTAACCTTATGTGAAGGAAATAAAAACTGAGGTGATGAAACATTTTCCTTTAATAAAGGGGCAGAGTGTGGGGTTAGTTGATGATTTTCTTTGTTATTAAAACCCGAATTGTTTTTCAAGTTATTTATGGGTATGTTTTTGCGATTCTCTGGTTTTTGCTTGCTGCTGTTTTGTATAGTTGCAAGCTGTTTTTCGAGGTTGATAACTTTTTCTTCTAGGAGCCGTTTGTTTTGTTTCAATAGATAATTACTTTCTCTTAATTCTTGTATAATTTGTTTTAAATAGACAGTTTCATCTTGTGGGTACTTTGATATCACTGTGTTGTTAACTGCCATATCTTCCGATGTTACATCTTTACTAGAAACCTCAAGATACAGTTCGCTAGGTTTTGGTACATTACACAGTGTACAAATCCATCGTTTTCCACGTGGAGTGGTTTTCTCTTTATTGATCTCTTGTATTTGCTCAATGGTGAGATTAGCACAGTCTCTATGATATAGACCATTACACTTTTCACATTTAACTTTATATGCATTTGTTTTTATTTGCTTTAAACATCGCACGCTCGCACACACGTCCGGCATGTTGGCCGACCGCACGCGAAAATAAATCAATTTACGAAATAGGAGAACCCTTTTTGCAGCCTCAAGTTAAGGCAAGAAGATTCGCTATGGCCCAGTCAGTCAAGGCAAGATCGCTATAACCCGCCCAGTCAAGGCAAGGTCACTATGACCCGGGTAGAAGCGATCTTGCCTTCATTGGACGTTTTATAGCGATCTTGCCTTGACTGGCTGGGCCATAACGATCTTCTTGCCTTAACTTAATGGGTCTGCAAAAAGGATTCTCCTATTTCGTAAATTGATATATCCTTCAAAGAACCTTCTAGCTTGACCTCTAGGTCATGGTCAAGGTTATCATCGTATGATCCTATCAAACCATAAAACTTTCAACCGGAATCCTTCCTCGTAAGTGCTTTCCCGAGAAATACCACAAAATCTTATTCAAAACCTTATTTGACCCTAAAACAACCCTTTAGGGTCACTTTGACCCATAACATAAATACATGTCTGAAAGTAATATTTTCTATCCATTACCGGTGTCAGAAATATATCTATCATATCTAAAAATGCCAATTGACCTTCAAATGATCTCTATGGTTGACCTTTGTGTCTATGTCACCTTCGAATGTCCACCTCAGATCCCTACAACTTTTGCCTAAAAAGTTTTTCTTGAAAGTGCTTCCCTAAGAAGACATTGCAAAGCATAATTTGAAATGGGACACCGTGTATATAGGAAAGTTTTTGGAACTAACTTGAATACGTTTAAAAATAATTTTTAGAACAGTTATTTATTTTATTGGCATACTAAAAGATGGACACTCTAGATTATTTATACCATATTAATTCCTATGTTTCATATGTTTATTTACAAAATGTGCTTAACTTAAGAAGCATAAATACTACTGGATAATCTTGGAGCCTAAATATGGCAAATAGGCTAAATATATCTTACAATTAGTCCAAAGCATTCTTTATGGATTAAAAGCATTTAAGTTGAAATTAAAGAAAATATTTCTTATTGTGAATTATTAATTGATGAAATAATAAATAGTATGACCTTTTTGAATCTTAGCTCAAAATGTTACTCTAGTGCAGTAGCGGCCTGTGGGTTTGACTACAAGGGGGGGGGGCGCATTTTGAATAGAGGAGGTATGTGCGTGGAGTTGTTTTAGGAATTTCAAGATCATTCTGTTTTGCAAGTACCCTAAAATGTATAAGAACAAAGAATAACCACACTTCAGTGTAACGGGTTACTGCCACATGGAGTCCAAAACAAAGCATGCAAGCCTATCGTTATCTATTCCCTCCCCGTGCCAATTTGTCGCATCGTGTAGAAATATGCTTGCACGATGGACTCAGATTTCAGCGTCCGCGATGGAGTGGGGATTGCACAGTCAAAGATAACTCTTTCGTACGATCATAGATGGCAGATGGCATTAAGCTGAGCGACATTCACGGAGTGCATGCACTTTATGCAACCAATCTAACATCCAAGGCATATGGAATGCATGCTATTTATTGATTTAAGGAAATTATGTATTTTAAATTTACAGTTTGGAAATATCCGAGGGAAGAGGGGAGGGGCGGAGTTCGAGAGTCCTAGTGGTGAGCTATCATTATAACCACACTCCATTATCTGGAGTCATGGATGCAAAGAATAAAGTTATCAAAATAATGAATTTTATAATTATTTCAAAAAAGCAGCAAAAATCTTAAAATCTTATAAAAAATTCAAGGTATTTCTTTTTTTTTATGTCATCTTAACACACTTGTAACTATTTTGGATTTTGGAAAAAAAATAGTAGGACGATAGCACGTCACGAAAGCTACGAGGCATTGTTTCACGGCACTGTAGATCTCATCGTCAATAGAAAACCTTTTTCCACCAATAAACAGCTTCAGAGAAGAGAAAAGAGAAAATCTGAAGGTGTCAGCTCAGGGCTGTGACCGGGGTGGTTGATGATGTTCCAACCGAATTCCAAGAGTTGCTTTGTGGCGTTGGCTGTGTGGGGATGTGCAATGTCCTGTAACAAGAACGGTCTCTTCGTTAACATTCATGCAGAAGAGATCTGGAGATTTGCAGAAACACTGCGTTCAAGCGTTCAAGGAAACCACGTAGCATTTCGTTAATCTTGTTTCCTATCTCATCAGTCACGATTGAGGGACGTCCACACCTTTATTCATCACGAACACTCGTTCTACCATCTTTATACTCACGACACCACTTGTACACTTTAGTACGATTTAGTCGCAGTTGACGGGATTCGGAATAGTGGCACTCATTTCAACATGCCACTGCAACAACAGTTGTCAACTGATTCAGACAAATGAGCGCGCGTTCTGCTCCCAGCACCTTAGCTTTCAATGCAGTGTTGCCAACTTTTTCGAACAGAGCATCTAAGTCTTACTTTCTGGATATGCTTCTTACATATTGAGTTGAATGTTTGTGTGCAAATACTCATAGAGGGTCTCGTAGTTACACAAACAATTTATATAATTTTTAAACACTCTGTAATTGGCAAATAACGCAACTTTGGACTTAGGTATATTCAGCGCAATTATTACATTTTAAGCTCAAGATTAATGCCTGATGGTACTTTGCACATTGTTTGTAATTTTATGATACATGTACCATCCTTAGAAAAGTAAACTCACAGTTCATTTTAGTCTAAATATTATCAAACATCTGCCAGTGTAACTTGGCTGTAGTTTATTTATTTCTTTCTATTTTATACATGTTTTATTGTAACTAGGTGGAATAAGTATTATATTATATTGTATTGCATTNTGTTGTCCATTTTTATCACACCGCCATGCCGGTCGCATTGTGCGGGGTCAGGTTTTACAGTGGACCAGTTTCCAGTGCCGTGCAGAAGTGTATTTTTAAATCATCTTCGAACTGCCATTTTTGATTTTTTCTTTACAAAACTGTATTTGTAAGGGTCTCCTGTACATCCAGAATTTTTTTTGGATTAGTTCTGAATCACCCTGTATGGTTGGTAATGGGATATAACAGTTGTATAGTTACTGTAAACCATATTCTTTACTGAATTATTGTATAACTGGTATACGTGTTTCTATTCTTGATGTTATAAGTTTTAAAATAATAAATGTATTCAAATATTGTATACGCTGTACGAAATAGAAACATATCGCATATTAAATTAGGGAAATGATTCCTTGGATCACGTTAGGCCCAAAAGTCTTAATGAATCATAAGCCTACAGTTGTTGGTTTTGCAAGATAGAGGACATTAAAGTTTTTGAAAAATTTAACATTTTTTCAATTGTCTCTGAAGTTGCTTGGCACAGATGGACGTATATTTCTATATAAGTCTATCGACTATTGGCGGAGCCTTGTCATTAAAACCCTCAGAAAAACTATGTCACTGAGTATTCAGAAAAATCAATGGGCGTATTTAATTCCCTATCATATTTTTATCGAAAAAGGTCTCGGATTTTCTTTTTAGAATAGACCACCTTCAAGTTAATTTTAAAATAAATTTCCAATATTTTATGGTTTTTGACTAGTGGGCTGTTATTGTTATTGATAAACGAACATTAAACGAACAATGACTTAGTTAAGAAGTACTATTTACTTTGTAATTTTAAAGAATTTAAAATTATTATATACCTACCAATTTAGAAATGACAGATATGCATTTTATTTATGAAAAAGCAAATGGAAATTCAAACAGAACAAAAAATTTATATCAAGAAACATTTCTAAATAGAACAGTTCCAGATAGGCGTATATAGGTATACCGGGTGAAATTAATAAGCGTTTTGTAGAAAATAGATCATTTTCTCATCAGCAAAGATCGGGGTATCCCATAACAGCAGAATTGAAAAATGCTATATTAGAGATAATGATCCCCAGACTACCACAAGTCTCTTCAAGTGAATCATACTATCTGAAAATTTTTGAAAGACCATGTCCCTACCACATGCAACTTATATAAGTCCTTATTCCTGATGATTTTCGGCGCCGAATAAAGTTATGCAGATTGATGCAAAACATGATAAACCAAAATTCTTGCTTTTTTAACTAGTTATTGTTTACAGATGTGCAACTTTCTTAAATTGTCATATCTTTATGCATACGAAAATTCCCACATGGTACTTCAAAGTAGGAATCAGTATCAATAAATGTCTGGGTAGGGTGAAGGAGTTAAGTCAAAGACTTGTATGCTACTCTCGACAGCTTGTATATCTATGCCCATGCCCAAATATATTTTTAAGTTATAATAGCACAAAGAATCACACTATTCCGACAAAAATAAGTGTACGTAAGCATTTCTCAATATCCCCCCCTTATCAGAACATTTCCGCTTGAATTTTTATAACTGAAATAAACTGAAAGACATACGAGTATAATATACAAGGCGATCCATCCAATACCATAATAATTAAATATAATTAATATAATAATAACTAATTAATATGTAGAGCTATTATAGTCACCACATGTTAAGCTACAGTAGACATTGTGGGTGACTTTTAATTAGTCCCGCTTTTCTGCCTTTGATTAATGGCGATACCTATAGCAAATGTTTACAAATTCAGATCAATAAACTCCTGAAAGCCAGACAGTGAATAGTGTTTATGCATGACGGAGCACCAGATCAATTCAGTAGAGTTGTTAGTTAATCAGTTGAAAAATATTTTCAACCGATGGATTGGACGAAATAGAACTGAACCCTACCTTTGGCATGCTCGATCTCCTGACTTAAATCTGCATGATTTCTTTTTATGAGACCATTTCAAATCCACTTTTTATGAAACACAGAAAATGAAGACAACGAATCATAAGTGGATGTCAGCATCTCAGACAAATGGCAGAAAATTTTGAAAATGTATGACAGTCGTTGAGGCGAAGACTCATCGAATGTGTTAATGCCAATGGTGGACATTTTCAGCATTTTCTACAATTTTTTTTTCTGACAATTAAGATATAGTTAACTCGTATTGTTACTGTTAGGTATTTTTGGGATATTTTACTAAGTTTACTTTAAAATAAATTTGGGATAAATACACATTAGAAAGAAAATGCAAGAGATCTTTTTTATTAGAAATATACGGGGAACTTATATGTCTATTAATTTTACTGAAAGCTCGTAACTCGTACTAAAACGTAATTTTTCTGAGTGTGTTTTCTGATTTATTTTAAAATATACCGAATTATTTCTTTTAATTATAACATTTTCCCAAGTTTCCCCTCTATGTTGTAAACCAGTAACTTTAGGCCTCTAGTTTATTAAGGCATTTGGATCTAAAATTACCCATGAAATTACCCCCTTAATTTATGTCATGGACATAAAATACACCCTATACCTATATATGTTTATGTCCATGACCCTCTTGCGACTTTTAGATATATTTTTATAAAGCAAATATTGATTCAACGGCATATACAAGTTGAACAGAACTACTTTCATTACCACAAAGTAGTTTACAAAACAGCGATCCTAATATATTTACACATAAATAGTTTATTTTCATTGTCATGTACCTGGCATTGATGTGTTGGACCGTCAGTGGTAAACAATATAAATATAACCTTAATTCAGGCGCCTTTATGCAATTTCACTGTGTTCTTTGGTGCAAATGGAGCGCGAAAAGAAAAAAATGTGGTGTAGGAGGCAGTTAATAGTGAAAGCCTTGGAAATAAAAAATGAGGAAGAGTATAGGTAAGTGTAATATATTTTCATCTGACTTCGGTTCAGATAGCTTTTAAAGTTATGTAAATGGTCGTAACGAAATTGATACAAATTAGGTAGTAGGTTATTGAAAAAACTCGCAGTTTTTCACACTATAGCTTACAGTTCAAAGTAAATGAATATCTATTCTATACGTTCTCCTTAAATGCGAATCCACGAAAATGGGAAGGTTAAACAAGACATTTAAAGATCGACAGTTCTTTAATTATAAACAGTTACTGTTTTCTTTCAAACCATTAATAATAAGAAAATGTCTATAGATTTCTATAGCATATTTGATGTCCAAGAGTATACAGAGTGTTTAATTGAAGAAACATAAATAGGTGAAAATATAGAAATTGAGCTAAACTTTGAATATTTTAAGAGTAACACAATACCTCAATATAAATTAACGAAAATGTTATTAACTATAGTTATGAATTCAATGAACCGTATCAAAACATTTGGTACAGTAGTACTGCTATTTTATGATCTTAAAAAGTGACCAAGTTATCTTAAAAAAATAAACAAAAATTTTTTATTGAAGTCTCCTGATATACACTGTGTCCCGTTTTAAATTACGCATTGCAATATCTTACGGTAGCACCTTCAAGAAAAACTTTTTAGACAAAAATTGTAGAGTCAAATAAAGTTCTGAATAGGATTTTACTATATCGGGATAGCACTTATGACGTAGGATTCTGGTTGAACATTTTATGTTCTGATGGGATCATATGATGATGACTTTGACCATGACCTAGAGGATATATTTATTTATTTATATTTATAAAGGCTAGTGTTACATACACATAAAAGTGTTTACACGCGTCCAAAAAAAAAAAGAAAGTGGTAAATAACAATACACATAATGATAGCAACTGTTATACAAATATACATAAACAACATATAATTAAAATAAATAAAAAGGATAAACCACTTACTAAGATTAATGATAACATTCATATTCGAGCTACATTACTGTCAATAAAATCTTCAAAACTATAAAAGGCATTTTTTATCAAGTATTTTTTTATCCTTGATTTAAAATTATTTTCATTAAAATTTTGAATTTGTTGAGGTATTATGTTAAAAAATTTGATGGCCCAATAATTAGTACCGACCCGCGTTTTAGTGAGTCTTAGAAATTTATTACATAAGTATGTGCTCTTTCGGGTATTATAAGAGTGAGTCTCACTTCTGATTTCAAAGTTATTTATGTGTTTTTTGACATAAATAAGACAATGAAGTATATATGCACAGGGTACAGTTAGAATGTTCAATTTAGAAAACTGCTCTCTACAGTCATCTCTAAATCCAAGGTCAGATATGATTCTAACAATTTTTCTCTGAAGAGTAAAAACTTTTTTCATAGAGGGAGCATGACCCCATACTAAAATAGCATATGTTATGATGGAATGGATATAGCAATGATAAACTATCAGCAAGCTTGATATCGAGACTC